GAGAGAGAGAGAGAGAAAGAACAGTTCCCACAGATTGAATGTCTGTCAAACAAAGGGTATCAAATCCTCTGTGAGCAAAACAACAATTGTGCCTTAACCGATGTGACGGAGCGAGGCCCCTCAGGCAATAAGAACTGCAGTCAAACATAACAAATAAATCACGGCATCTCAGGAAGCTCTGCACCACACAACCAAGAAAGGCAGTGGGTTTTTTTAGTCAGCACAAGAAACCACAGGTGATTACTCGGCGTATATGAGCAGGAATCTAGGTACCATGGCTGCCCCGGTTTGTTAACTGGAGGACATTTCTTATAGCAGTAAGAAAAAACACAAAAACTTCACTGCGTTGTATTATGTCGTGTTATAACTGCATGTTTATCTTTGCTTTTGAAGTCAAATTCGCACATTTTCTTCCCACCCTCTGACTCTTGCAGAAACTACTTTTTGTTTCACTTTTCTGAGATTGAGCGAGTTCACACATTTTTCTTTGGGTTTCTCCTCCAAAAAGCCACAATATGCAGTTTTGAGATATATTCTGTGAGGTACAATAAAAATATGTCAATCAGTCCAGGCAGAGCAGCAAGTCAAAACCTTTACTGGAAGGGTTGAATTGTAAATTCACAGCCTTAAGATAAATGAACTGTACCATGAATCCTGGCAGAGAAGGCTTGGCAGAATCACAGAGTCCTCTCACTCTTTTTCCATCTCTGACTTGCCCACTCCTGTTCATTTTTTATTTTTTTGACAGAAAACTAAGCATGTCTTCCAGGCACGGTCCTCCAATTGTCAACATCATCAAGTGATTTATGTTCAGTCACTTTGTAAAGGAAATGACTTGAAGCAGAGAAGGTTATGTTTAAGTTTTGGGTCGTGGGTGAAGTCATACTACCAGAGCGGTTAAACAATGATCTTACAGGCCATGTGTCCAAATTGAGTTGACAGACTGGCTTTTCCAACAGCTTGGAGCATTATATTGAATATTTAGTGTCATCATCACTGATTACCAGCCACACAAAGAGCCATATAGCAGTTTTTCTGGACTCCGAACTGTCACAGACAATTAAAATGTTCATATTGAAACAGGATCACGAGAGCGTTATCTGATCTCGTTGCTGGCGTCAGCAGTATTTTGGCCGTGAAAACAATATCCTCAACACTATTATCTGATGCAAAGCTGACAGCTCCCTGTCTTTCAACAAGTGGTTGGCTAATGGCTCTGAGAGAGACACCAACTGACAGACGGTCCAGTGTCTCCAAACAAATCTGCATTCCACCGCCTCAAACTTGTTTGACATTTGCCTGCTCTTGGCATTACACAAACGCGTATTTGCTTACAGCAACAATGCAAAGTAGCACCTCTGTGTAATCATTTGTCACTTAAAGAGGTACTGTTTTTCATGACTGCCACTGGGGAGTGTCATTACGCAACCCTTGTTTTTATATTTATATATCATCAAACATTAATACTTAAATCTTTTTTTTGTTTCTCTCTTTTTTTTCTTAGTTAAAACATAATGTCACAAAACAGGCTGTGTTGACTTGCAGTGGTGGAGAGAAGTATGGAAAGAGTGAGAACTCACAGTGAGACATAAAACACTTTGTGACATGATGAAGTCATCCTGACAGCTTGCTGTTTCCATGATGTGGTAGAGCTCTTTGGAGTGCTCAACATGGAGACTCCAGCAGTTGGTCCAGCAAAACAAGAAAACACACCACAACAGGAAAAGGCAAAGACAGATGATGGTAAGAAATTTTGAGAAATAAAGAGAGCCAGAGAGACAGGAAATAAAGCAAGAGAAGAAAGTTCCAAGATGGCTACTTCTCTAGATTTGGAAGGTTAAGTTGGCGCTAGTAATACGTCTTGTTTTGTAATTACTGAGAAAGGATTCACACTGGCAGCAATGAAGGTGTTTCCCTTCCTAAACTCAGAGAGAAAACAATCCTTTCTCTGTATAAAGAGATGCATAATGGATGTGTTTCACCACCACCACTTTTAGCCTGGGGAGTTAAAGGAACACACAGATACAAGCAGGCCCAAACACACACATGCAAGCACAACATGCAAAACAACACACATTCACATAAGTTGAACTTTGTGCCAAAAGATCTTTTAATGGGGGCTTGGAGGCAGACTGGAAATGTAAATCCTCACAATCAGAGCGGCACACCTGCAAAAATAGACATAGGAAATTGTGTGCAGATAGTTTCCTTGTTAATTATAGTGTGGCAGCGGAGAGAGCCCCCTCGATTCCCCTAAAACCACCTGTCCAACCCCTCCCTTCTACTTGGCCTTAATTGCTATAGAAATTCCAGAAAAAGACAGGTATCAACAACTCCCAGATTTACTGCTCAAAGTCATGACACAAAGAAGGACTGTTAGCAGATTTTGCAATACAGAAGCTCTCATGGGTCAACAATTGTTTCACAAAACCTCAGATTTATCTACACCTGAAAAGAATTATCATATAATCCACCAGGCTTTTGCAATTTTGTTTAAAAAAAAAAAAAATAAATAAACTTGTTGGTACAGTTTTTGACAATATGGATGGTTTTACTGGACATTTGATTCTAATTTTCAAATGTAATTGTGATTATGTATTGCTGTTATTATAATCTGTGTTTTTATTATTTTTTTATGACATTTAAATGATTTGTACGGATTGATGATACAGTATGTGAGCATTAACAAGAATTTTAGGGCTCGTATGTTGCTTGATGTGTAAATATTTACAACAATAAAAATGAGAGATGTTTGTGGTAAGGCCGATAAAGCTAGTATACTCATGATCACAAGTACAAGGATCATGAGTAATGACACATTATGCTATTTGGAGCATAAAACATAAAGCACAAATAATAATTGATTTCAAACTGTCACTGAAGACGGTGTGACTGAACACCATGAAGGTAAAGCTGCTCTGTATGGGCAGCCTGTCCTCAAAAAAGACCCATGGGTGGTGTTCTGGAGGACCAGAGCGCAGTGATATTACTCTGCCACAGAGATGAGTTTCTTCCATTCCAGATGTCACCGACTCAAACTGATAGACCAGATGACAGCGAAGGGCGACACAGATATCGCTGGCCTTCAAGCAGACATTTCTCACTCGACCGTGTGGGTGTTTTTTCGATTCACTTCAATCAAACTGTCCCTCACACTTATGTCAGGTCCACCAGGGTATATAAGCAGTGGACAGCAGGTGCAAAGCCAAGACAGTCCAGCTGCAGTGGCTTACCTACTGACCAATCAGTGCTGGAGCAATAAACCAAAGCACTGTGGAAAGCTACACTCTGACATCAAGTCCCTGATCTTCATCTGATATCCAAATCACATAGCACTAAACGCACTGTGTTACACATGGCTGTAACAAGTGGAACCTGTTAACCTAGCACATATGCCAGCACCAATAAATAATCTTCGCTGACACGCTGCTAACTATGGGAACACAATGAATAAACTTCATGTAAACTAAGACCAGAGTTTCAGACACACCTCACTCCACAGGAATTAGCCTCTGCTGTTTAAAAGGTGGAAAACAATGCTTCTCTTTTCCAAGTCTTCATATGTTGGTTATAAAAAAAAAAAACAGTTCAAGGGCTGGTGACTCCTCCGGTGAATACACATTCATACACATCAAACACATGCAAGTGTGTACACACTAACACACACACACATATGCTAATAATAAAGAGCTCCACAGGCACTGGCTAACACTTGAAACACTCACTAATAAGCACATATGTGCACACAGGCACATGCAGACACACACACATGCTCAAGTATGTTTTCATATAAACACAGTGTCACTCTCACATTGATAAAGCAGAAAGAAACAAACATACTAAAACACTGCATGCAAACTAACATGTGTGTTAGGACGTTTTAGTGTTTACACGTGAAAATGTGGTCAGATTTCTGGAAAACAATGATTAAATGTCTCAAAGCCTCTCAAGTGTTTTGCACACTTAGTCCCTGTCTTCAATTAAAGCTGTCGGCCCGTTCCCAAAAAATGCATTCTCTCTCTTTCTTTCTCTTTGTTAACAGAGAGAGAGAATGAGAAAAAGGGTAGACAAACAATGACTAAAGTTGGTGATTCAAAATTCTTTAGGTATGATTTACTCACCGGCACTGGTGTTGATGAGGCAGACGGACAGAGTTGACGGAGCGGTCTGATGAGCAGAGCTAGCCAGGGAAAAGGAGAAAAGATGTGTGTACGTTCATCAGAGTCCTTCTGACAGCAAAGACAGAGTAGCAGTGAGCCTCTCTCTCTCTCCCTCACTCCCCCTCTTCCACTCTCTCCTCCTCCTCCTCTCTCTCTTAAAATCACTCTTTCACTCCCCAAACACAGGCACACTCACTCTCTCACTCACTAAGAAATAATTATACTCTCTGATTCATAAAGCCTTCCTTTGTCACGTGACTCAACACTTCAAATATACAGCACATTTTTTCACAAGCCACAAAATGCCTGGAGGGAAGAAAAAGGCCCAGAGAGCTTAAGTTTCTGTTTTTAATTCTCTCTCCCTTCTTTGTCTCTTGGGTGAATTCTTTTTCTCTCCTTCATCTTCTTGGCTAAAGGGTCGGCTTACCTACAAACTGTTTATGCATGTGGAAATGCAGAGCCATGTCGTGATCTTAGATCATTCATGTTTAATCAGTAAATTCACAGTTTAATAGGAGAGGATGTTTGAGTATCCTGAACAACACAGATTATAGTGTTTTGATTTAACACAGATGCTGTTTTAATGGCGAGCCAATAGATGTATTCTTCCAAGAAAGTCTAAGTAGTCTCACCTAGTCATTTATTCCCGGTGTGATCAATTTATGGAATAGTCATAATGGACTGCACTACCAGCTAAGTACAGGCATTTACTGTAGGCGCTGTTTTTATGTAACTCATATTTGTGTTTGGCACTGTGCTTTATTAATCTGCCCAGAGCAGTGTCAATAAATCATTACAATTATAACAATTTCTACTACTACTACTGATAGAACTTAATATTAAAGAAAAAAAAAGCAAGTTCGAGAAACCTTGTGGAACTAAGCAAGGAAGTATTGGACACAGAAAAATGATACAATATCTAAAACATTCTTATTGAGGATAAATGAAAACCAGAATTTGGCATACAAAGCTGGAATCCAACATTTTTTAGGATACACAACATCTGTCAACATCCTGCCAAACATTATGCAGTTAGGAATATTCTAAAATCAAGATTGAGAAAACAAAGCCCTGCAGATGTATGTACCTAAATCACCTCAGTTCCTAAAATGAAACTTGTGGTGGCACATCAGCTGCATCGAAGTCTCATGTGAGATGGCAGAACCGTGCAGCAGCAGCGACAGATTTGGGTGTGCCCCTGAACGTGCCCCTCTCTCCATATGAGATCATATGTTTCAGATCTGTGTTTATGTGTTTGTGGTTCTGGGCGTGTGCCCTGTTTTTCTGAATGTAATGTTTCTCAAGTTGTTTTGGTTATGAGGAGCACCTCAAACCTCAGAACTGGGAGGAGAAGGCACACCTCAACTGGCACCTCAACGGGCACTTTTACCTCTCCAGAAGGGTATAGATAAACTACACTTTCTAAAGAAAGAAAAAAATACATGCATGCTGCTTTAACACTCACATAAGCAACATCTAGTCTAATTCATGTCTGAACCAAGTAAGTGCAGCAGGCATTTTTAAATTAACCAACTTATACATGCACTACTTGTTCTGAAAATCCATCAAAAATGAAGGCCTTCAGGCATATTGGCCATGCTTAACTTCATGTTCTCCCAAATATTAGTCTGAAGCAGAAGTGCCAACCAAGTCCCACATGCTGCATGTGGAACTTTTCTTTTGGTCATCCCAGATACCTGCACATTTCAGATCTGCTATAACTGCTGTTATTTTGATTGCAAGTAACAGTAACTGTAACTACAGGCAGATATCTTATTCCCCAGTACACTGACCCCAGTATGTCTCCAGAATAAAGTCAAGCCATCATAATAAAAGAACTCTTGTAACCATTATTTCTATGTGCTTCCTATCTTTACAGCCACATATGGTCTACAGACGCCTACTGAAATGTTCTTTCATACATTTTTTGATGTGGATTTGCTTGTACATAATCACGTTGAATTAATGTATCAGCAGTGAGAGGCGCTGTTGCCTTTTTGCAGAAACCTTATATTCAGGAAGCACAGATCTAAGCCATACTGCAAAAAGCACTTCGGCTGATCCTTATCTCGTTTACATTTGATTTATGTGTTGCTTATGAGGCCACTAAGGCTAATAGAAATCCTTTAACTGTTTACATAGCACTACTAAATCAGCAATTGTGTAAAATGAAACAAGAAGGTAAATACAGCCACAGGATGCTGCAAAAACTAACCTTGTGTTAACCATTAGAGTGACGTGAACTGTAAAGTGTGAATTTCAAGACATTGTGATGCCATCAGGCTGACTGCGACCATGCATTTGTGTCAGAATGTGCAGTCAAGTGCATGATGATGGTTGTGTGTGTGTCAGTGCGTGGGGCATGCTGTGTTCCTTATTAAATCATTACAGTGAGCTTGAGCAGGGGGTGTATTTAGGCTTTGCGTGTGTGTGAACTTGTGAATGTGTGTGTGTGTGTGTGTATGCTTGTGTCTGTGTGCATGGATGAGTATGCGTAGGCAGTAGCAGCAAGAAGGTCAGAGGTTACTAGTGTTTGTGTTTCAGTGTCAGTGAAGTGTGCTCCAGGCAGAGATTTATGATCATTGTGTCTGGGAGGCTGCAGAGTGGGGGATAATGAAGATAGATCAGGGTGCTATCTCTCTCTCAGGGCACCACTGGAAACATGGCCTATGGCCCCCTCCGTTCTCGTATCATTAACTTCAGCCCGTGACATCATAACGCACTGCCCTGACATCAATCCTAACACAGTGTGCTCTGACAAAAAGTCGAACGCAGAGAGGCCATTCCTCACAGGAAGCCATCCGGCAAACACAAGCATTGTTCGGCACGAAGCTTTGCAGCTTCTTTGGGTGTGTTTATGAAGATATGAAATATTCATGGAAATATCGTACTCAGTCGTGTGTTTCCACTTTGGATTCAACTTATTTGCATTCACAGAGCTATGGAGTAGAGGCCTGGGGCTCGCTGGCAGAGGAAAAGCAGCAAGGGCAGAAAGGACATAGGAAAGGGGGGATGACGGAGGGAGCAAGAGAGGGAGGAAGTGAGGTTAGAGGGGTTAAAGAGAGATGGGGAGAGGGGGAGAGAAGAGGGGTTGGAAGGCGAGAGGGTGAGAGGGCTCGTGGTACAGGGAATGTGAGAGAAAGGGGTGTGAAAAAGAAAGGAGGAGGGAATGAAAACTGGAGGGTGAGATGGAGAGAGGGGATGGATTGTAGAGGTAGGGACAAGGGGGAGGGGAGGGGGGTGGTTGATGGGATTGGTGGTGGGGAGGTGAGAAGGAGCGCAGGGGAGCTGGTGCCCATGGCGGCAGGTTTTAATCAGTAACAAGATGCCTGTAATGAGATCACTATTTCCCCACATTCAGATTGATGAAGTTTGGTGCCACACTGAGACAGGCAGGGGACGCAGGGCGGACGCACACACCGCAAGAGTAATTGGCACAGACACATTCATTTACACACACACACACACACACAAACACACACACACACACACACACACAAATATACACTTGCTTGCGCTTTCTTGGTTACAGACTTAAACACACATCCTGTGAAATGAAGGAGCTCATTCATCCAGCCTGGCAAAGTGCGCTCATTTAGAGTCCAACCACCTTGAAGTAAAAACATACACAGAGGAATACTGCTCACAGGAAAATGAGTTACTTATGGCAAAGGAGAAATGTATGTGTTGGGGACCGAAGGGCATCTACCACTATGTACTCTTCTAACAAAAACAAATGAGCACAAAGCTTGGAAGAGAGAGAGGGAGAGAGAGAGAGAGAGGGGGAAAAAAAAGCTTTTTTTACTGCAGAAAAAACTAAGGGAACAAGAGAGGGGGAGAGGGAAAGAAAGCAGAAAATAAAAAGAGGAGTGTGCGCTTTCTGTGCATATTTTGGGGTGCATTCAAAGGCTGTCGACACAGCTACCAGCGTGTGTGCCAGCACATGAGCGCTCTGCCGATTCCCCAACATGTGTGTCCAATGAAAGGTGAACGGCTCTCCTGTCTATACTTTCCTCAAAAATCAGCCATGATGTCACCATGAACCCATCTTGAACCCACCTCTGTCAAAAAGCATTACTCCAGCCCTCCCTCTCTCTGCCTCATTTTCTGTTCCACCTCTCCCTCCTTCACGCTCCATTCCTGCCTCTCGAATTCTTCACTGGGCTTCCATTCTTTTGCTTTCCTCTTTTTAATATTTCCGTATTCTTCAACATTTCCCCTTTCCCGTTCATGTCTCTTTTCTCTCTCCCTTCTCTCACTGAAGCACACAAACTTTTTTTTTTCTTTTTCTGGCAAGCGTGGTCTAATTGAATCACCAAAAAGCGCAGTCGTTTGCCAAAAATGCCAGGATGTTCTGATTATCATAAACTTTGTTTAAGCTGTGGTTTTACAAAGAAAATGCTCTGAGTGCATGAGGGGAAGCCAAAAAAATAAAAGCAGAAAAAAAGAGGAATAGGGGGAATGCAAATGAAAGAGGGGAGAGGGAAAGAGAGAGAACACTGGGGAAGAGAGGGGTGGTGGGGGCAGCGAGAAGGCAGCCAGAGAGCCACATATGGAAGTGATTCTGTAATTACTGCAAATCTGTGAGCTCAAAAGGAAAGGTCTTCTTTTCCATGCCTCCTTCCCTGCACATAAAACTGCCCTTGTGGGAAAGTTGGGCACTAAATACTGAGCAGGAAACATGAAAAAAACAAAGTTTTTATTTGCTTTTGCTTTTCGAGATGAGGGGTTGGTATATTTATGTATAAGGTATACGTTCAGTATGTATAAGTTTAAATGCAGGTCTGCTTTTCCTCCTTTTTTTTTTTGTCGCAGAGATGAACAGAAACAAATCACTGCTGATCATGAGGCTACTGGAAAATTTTCTGCATTTTTTGTTCATTTGCTTTGCTTTCCTGAGCTTAATCAACCGTCCTGGAAGCTAATCTAAAACAAACTGGGAGGTTGGAATAAACTGTCTCTCATCAGCCACACACCTAACTGGCATCATTCACACAGAGCACACATTCAACAAGGTGTGTGAGGGAGGGGGCGGTTAGGGGATGGGTGACAGACAGACAGACAGACAGGCGGACAGACACAGGGTGATGAAAACTCTCTTTAAGCCTCAGGCGTAGCAGTGCTTTGCAGGTGTGTATGTTGGCAGAGACTTCTGTTCTGCTCAATCCCCAAACAGTTTGAGCAGCCTGTAATTATCTCGTGCCCTGCCATAACGTGTTCTCATGATGAGTGCTTGCGTCTTACACACACACATACGGTAAACACACCCGGATTGACGCAGCTTGAGCTACGTTTATTCTTAGACATATCCAATTCATCACGGCAGGAGATGATTTATGTAAAGTACACAGTCCTACCTTCTTCGCCTAGAGTAGCCTCGGCTTCACAAGCGAGCACATTCCCCCAGAAGTTTGAAACATAAATAGTGGATGACAAGCGCACGCACACCGAAGTTTTCTGTGAAGGAGACAAAACAAAGTCATGGACAGTCTTCAGAGGGATCCTCTATATTACAGCACGGCGGCTGGAAAAGACCACGCCATTTGGTCTTACGCCTGAGAGATCATTTCAGTCATTTGTCAGATTACCTTCGTTTGTTGCCAATCCGTCACTGTGTCCCGGCGGCAGCTCAGGGGCGTCGATGGGAGCTACCGTGCGTAACGATTTCTGGCGCCGTAACCCCCCCTAGTGACCACAAGGAGGATTGCAGCACACATCCAGAACAACAAAGAAACAAATAGCCTAAGAATGTAAGAAAAACAATAGCCTACTCAGTCTGCTTCTCTTTGCCTGTGATCGTGTCTAATTTGAGCATAGTCTACTTTTTCTTTTAATTCAAACGTGTCTTTGTGGAGTAAGGATGAGAAAGGGAATTAAAGGAACATTGGTGATTTAACGAGTCATTAAAGCAATTACTAGATGGATAGACTGAAAGAGAGGAAATGTATCAAATAGGCTTATAAAAAAATGCAAAGCACTCTTTTTACCACAGCTTTGTGGCCTAAAAAAAACACGTTATCATTACCATTTCAGGTTTATTTGAACAAATACGTGTATTATTTTATTATAGCCTATAAAACCTGATTTAAAAAAACTGATTTATCAGTAAAATGCTTACTCAATATCTTACTAATTAATGAGTAATTTATGTCGACCTTAGACATTTAATAAATTATTTTTTTGAATGAAAACGTGTTTTTATGACAAAGTGACCACCATAGTGATCACTATTGCATTGAGACTTCTAAGGAACATCATTTGCCTAGATAGATAGATAGTGTCACTGCCATGAATTGCCACTGGGGGGCGCTTTCCACAAGCTGTGTATAGTTTGTCCTGTGTGCTTAGAGACTTATAATAGGCTGCAGATTTTGTTGCTGACTGAATCTTATAGGTGGAACTTTTTGTTAGGAGTTATGAGGGATACAATCAAACACGGTGGAAACTGACTTTCCTGACCATCCTCAAGGGCACCGAGCAGACGTTGTTTATTTTTCTTACAGCAAAATAGTCACATGTGCATAAATAATCAAATATAGAACTTATATTTTTTAGAAATATAAATGTTGACCATGTCTTGGATGTGTGGCTCGCTCCACCAGCATGTTGTTGGCGTGTCATAGGTCCAGTTGCGCATCTAGCGTTTCCTTTGGCACATGTGTTTTAAACTTGGCATTTGCTTGTTGTTTGGCACGTCTCTGTGTTTACCATCCGTTTGCAGCGCTGCCTGTCAGAGAACAGGGAGTCACGGTGAGCCACGCCTATTGTCCATGTGCTTCATCCTCCAATCTCTCCATCCCTCCACACCACGCGCTCCGTATTTTGCATAAAATGTGTATCAGTAGGGCAGCGCTCTCCCCGGCACATGCAGAGCGCACATGTAGCGTGGCTTTACTGAACACATACCACGGTCGAATAAGCGCATCAAACTCCCCTCAGCCCCAGATCCCCGCCAATGAAAATGCACAAAACCGTTAAAGGGAGAGAGGGAGAGAAAGGACTCCGCGAGATACAAAGACTGAGCCAAATCCCACACAAACACACAAAACAAGTTGAGCGAACGGAAAGGCGGTCACATTTCCTACTTACCTGCAAACGTGATCGATGTGGGTGTTTGTATCAGTGGGTGTGTATGCCAAGTCTGACACTCAGCTCACGGATGTGCTGACTGTACTTTCTTGGAATTCATGAGAAGTGTTTAATCTTTGCTCGTGCAACATCACACACGCTCGAGCCGAGGCGCAGTATCCAGCGCGCAGAAGGCATCCAGGTATCTTTGAGGAGACCAGTTTGTCTAACTCGCGTCAGACCACAGCTGAGCACCGAGAGAGACACCTGCCTGCAGTTTGCTGGGGAAACTTTACGTGCACTGGACACATTTCCATCACCGCTTCCCATTTTTTGCGCATGGAGCAGGTGTTTTACGCAAAGCTGTTTTTTGACTTTCTCACTTGTCTTCAAAAGACTTTTGCTCCGGTCTAGTGACATTCACGGACGTCTATCTTCAAGTCTGTTTAAACTGATCGACATCAACAAGAGACATGGATAACAGCCCTGGTAAGATTAATTTTAATATTGTGTTTGACATGTAACAACTGCTCCATTATGATAGAATTCCGATTATGACATGAATTGATTAATTGAACTGATTAACTGGTCATTGTTTGGACTTTTCTCTCGTGTTGCCAACAGTCAATAGTGGATACTGTATAATTTAATATAATATAAATTCAATTTAAATGTGATAATCTTTGATTTTTATAACGCAAAGTTAATTTATACTATTTATTCTTTGACTAATTGTGCAAAACACTTAATTACACACTATTACATTACATTACACACTAAAAACACTATAATTTATGCAGGATATATCATCTTTACATGCAACTTTTTTGGGGGGTTTATCACCTGTGTAACACATAGACTAACTTTTTAGGAGTTTAACCACCTTGTTTCTGTGTTCAACAAAAGTGTAACAGTGCGACTTCACGCAAACTTCTCAGAAAGTTGCTGCGTTGCGTTCAAATGTCAAATGGCAGGGTCTGGACTGCAGCTGCACTGACAGTGAAACGCGCCATATGGTTGTAGTGAGGCTGGCCACTTCCTGCTTCTCTCCATGAAAACAAACTCACGTGGAGCTACAGTACACTGTCACTGCAATCATAATCTGTCAGAGCCTGAACTTTAACTGCGCACTATCGTCTAAAGGGGAAAAAACAAAGACACTTTGGCGTAAAGGGCGTGTTTTTTTTTTATTATCAAGGCCGTTGCTTAAGTGCCTGCGGTATAAAAGTTGATAACGGCAGGACTTCCATCCGTTAAGTGGTATTAGGCAGCGTTTCCTCGAGGTCAGCCAAAGGTGCACATGCTTTCCTCTCCTAATTTACGGTGAATCATTTACAACTGCGACAGTCACGTTTCAGCACAGGTGAAGGGCGCACCTGCCCTCCGTCAACATGTTACTCTAATCTGCAGCCAACACTAAACCCACTCACCGGGTTATGACTCTCTATTTATGTTGATGAAGTAGGCCAATGTTTTGCACAGAACGTGCAAATGAGTAATCACAGATAATAGCTGTAGTATTAGTCAGAAGATAACGATGAAGACTGCACGTTGGGCTTTTCTGCTGGTGTTTTATAGATGTTTTGTGTTTGTGTGTATGAGTGAGGGCAAGTTCAAGTCTTTATTTGATTGTTTATATATTTTGCAGTTTATTATAATTATATATTTTTCTTCTCATCAATCTAAATGTAGTGACCACCTTGAACTGGGTTCACTGACCTTTAATGTTTCAGTCACGTTATTGGAATGCACATGACTTCATTTCACTCATGAGTTCAGTGTAGTGATTTAAACAAAGCTCATAAACATCATCATAACCTGGCAAAAAATATGGCTGCAGTGGTGGGCTGTATGGCTCATAAAGTCTAGATAAAATGAGATTGTGTGTGTGTGTGAGAGAGAGTGTTGTGTGTGTTGACACAGAGCACCTGCAGAGATGATTGGGTTGTGGGATTGCATGTAAATGCAAAATTCCCCCATACTACTGTAATGATTAATGTATAGTCTTTTATGCCATATAACATCGCACCTTTTAGGTAAATGGGTAAATTAATATTTTCATCCAAGTTGTACATTCTTCACCTCGTAAAGGGTCAACTTCACTTTGTGGGAGACATTTGTAATATTATTTAGTCTTTGCTGGGTTGCATTATAACAACATTAAATTTACTGTCATATGATGCTCATATGATAAAAACAGACAGATGTCTACTGCTCAACTTCATGCACTATGCCCTCAATCACTACTTCCTCTGACACGCCCCTGGTGGAGGTTTTATGCATTATTCTGAGCATTTTTAAAAACAGTCCCACCCCCAACTCAAGCTTATTCCTCACCATCAATGTCAAACAATCATTAAGTTTTATGTGACTGACAAAAACATTCAGACAAAACTTGTTAGTGAGGGCCAATTTCTGCAAACATTAAAGCTAACCATAATAAAAACATGTGCTAGATAACAATCTAACCACATTAGTTTGAGGGCTGGTAAAATAATTGATAAAATCCACATTCATTTTACATCACAAGTCATTTCACATCATAAACTCAACCCAAAATATATGGGCAATGGAAATGTTAAAAATAAATGTACCACAAAACCAGACATGTGAGCTCACAAAAATATAAGTAGGCCTATGTCTTTTACAGGACATGCAATCCAAAGCTTACTGACCTCACTTTGTGTCTAAGTGGAAAAAAAACTGACCAATGCTACAACTGAACCCGTTCTCTCCTACTATAATATGTTAAAAAGTGCTATTGTCAAATGGGATTCTAAGAAAACGACATTATAATAATGCATTATATTATATATAATATTAGGCTATAATTCACCCGAAATAAATGACTTCATACTAGAAAGAGGAATTGCATTATCATCTGCATCCTCGCAATACAAACTTTGGTCTGGCCACATAGTTTACTAATACAACACCTACAGTAGCTCCTACTGTTCGTGAACTGGGTGCAGAGGCTGGCTGACAGTGCAGGCGGTGCTGCTGCTGCTGCTGCTGCACACTCAGACCACCCCGCCGCATAACATGCTGCTCTATTTAATTTGGCTCTTTTAATTATAAGCCCCTGGCGGACTGTAGAAGCTTTGGCTCCTGGCTGCAGCGCAGCTTCGTGTCTTCCCAGTGAAAGCTCCGTCAAAAGCCTCCTCACGTGGCTTCCCTTGCAGAGCCGCGTGCGACGCGTGAGACATACCCGGGCCCTCCTCCCGCCTCCTGCCGCTTCCCCGCTCTCACGGACGCTTCTGTGTGGATGCCGCCCGCGGTGATGGTGAGGGAGAGTTTGGTCAGTGGGTCAGCGATTCCATGCGTTCACTTTTTTTTTTCTCTCTCCCGTCACGTTTTCCCGCCTCATGAGCCTCTGACTTGCACCGAGAGCATTTTTTTTCTCTCTCTTTTTTTCTCTCTCTCGTTTGAATCAAAGACCATACATTGTGGTAGAAGCTCACTTGACTCTGCCACATCTGTCCCCAGCTCATCGGTTCAGGGCAGGGCACACATCCGCTTAGGGTGTGTTTCAGCTGGAACGTGACACTGCTGTTAAACATGACATCTCTCACCCGCTGCACTCTCCAAACGGTGATGAAACAGATAGCGGATTTAAACAAAAACACACGCTGAGCGGCTGCGACTCTGATAAAATCGCGCAACCCTCAAACGGATGTTTTTAAATCCATGTTTGACGGAGCGCGCGTGCCAGGCATGGAGTCATTTTAGGTACACAAGCCTAAAACACCATTATATTAGACTATATATGCAAAATCATAGTCTGGTGTTTATAAAGTATAACTGTCCTCTGTGATAATATAATAACAGAACTTTCCTCCTGGTAATTGCATGAGCCAGAGCTAGTGTGTGTGCAGCATCAGTTTGAAGAGGTGCTAGAGGCACATAGACACAATTCTACCAAGTTCCTGTGATATTGACCTACTTACACAAGCCTGAGTTAATGAAGTCTGCAAACACCCAAGTGCTCACAGATTGGCCATGTTCAGTAGCACACAATAACCTTTTTTATTGGCCATAGCCTATATCATTTTCTACTGCAGAATAATACACTGCATTGTTCCAAGGAAGCAAATGATATGCCATGTTTGTGAACTACACCACAAGGACAAACAAACACTTTAGTCACCTTAACTGTAGGCTGTCGTTGTGTCAAGATGCCCTGTGTTATAAGGTGAACGAGTGAAAGTAAGAACTAAAGGACAAGAGGGAAGAGGAGAGGAGATGTGCATGCGAAGTGCTCACGTTTCTCTGCCTGCTTCCATTCCCAGGCAGATTAGTCCTTGCACGGGTAGACAAAGTTTAAGATGGGCATTGCAGAAGGAATGTCATATAATTGTAAATAAATAAATACATCTAAAATCAGTTCAGTTTAGAGATTGACTGATACAGACTGCCAATAATAAGAACAAAAACAGTGATGCTGACTATCACATAATCAATTGATTGGTGATTCCAATAGCATTTTGCAGCCTATGTGGATACTTCCTACAATGTTTGCATTAAAATGATAGGAAATGACAATATCATGCTGAGAACAAGTGAAAAATAATACCTTCTTTCACTGTAAATGACTATAATGATATGATCACTATATAACAACAAATGTAAGACGAGGAATATGTTTCCAAATAGTGCAGAGAGTGTGCAATGTTTATATTTAAACATTTCTATTTACACACGCAGGTGATTTATGGTGTCATAGTATCCCACCCACACTACTGGAAAGCAGACTGTAAAACGGGTTGTTAATTGACAAGTGTTTACAGCATAGTGGCAGTAGGGGTCATTCATAAACACTTACTGTACATGTGAGTCTTCAGGTGGACATGCAATGTGTTTGGGTGGAGTGGGGGTTGGGCCACTGCCTGTCTGCATGTAAGCTCAGGAAGAGGTGAGGCTCAGGCCTGCATCTGTCTATGGCTCTGGCATGAGTCAACAAACCACCAACACGTGCTAGGCCAGGGATTATCAAAACATTTGCGCTAAAACAAATGCCTTGTGCAGCAAAGGGCAACACACAGCAACACAGGGACAGGCCTACTGCACTTAGGCAGCATTTCCATACACAAGGCTGAGTTAGTTAAACCACTGTATGAATTTTGGATGTTGGAAATCATTTGAATGTTTTCCAATTTCTGTGCAGACAACCATGAACGCATTTTTAAATTGGGCCCATTATTTGTTTGTATTATAAACCTAATTTGCGTTTAATTTGTCATTCTGAACGTCTCTCTGATTGCCTCTACTGTACACGGAGTTGTTGGGACATCATCACAGCAGTCCAGTCCGTACAGTTGAGGCTTTTCCTCTGCAAAAACGTGACTCACATTCTCCCCACTGTCGGTGGCGCATGAACAGCAGTGGCTGAGACTCGGTGCCACCTCACGCTCGGGGAGCTTCCCAGTCAGCGTATGTTTGTAAACACAGATCTGACTTCGGATTGTTGTGTATTTCAACACGAGACTGCGGATTTGGTTCGGGCAGTAACCGTGTCAGGAGTCCATGCATGTGAGGCGGCGGTCAGGTGTCGTGCTGTTAGCTGGCGCTGGGCACGGTGCCAGGGGAGCGAGGCTATTATTGGAGCGGAGGAGGCAGCAGACCCCGCAGACACGTGAGGCCGTGTCTCAGCTCATCCACAACGCATGACTAGAAGTGCGAGAGAGCAATAGAGAGAGAGAGAGAGAGAGAGAGAGAGAAAGAAAGAGAGAGAGAGAGAGAGAAAGAAAGAGAGAGAGAGGGGGGGGCTTTG